TGGGAAGAAAAAAAGGTTGCGGTGACAGAAAAAATATAAACATCTGAGATAGTTTAATAGTGTTCAGCCTCTGATGCTCATGTTTTTTCTTTTCTTTTTTAATCAGTATGTAATCACCAAATCCAACTCCTAAAACTGGAGTTGACTTTGGTGAAGCAGTAGACAAATTGGTCCCAGAATTGCCACAAAAAATCACTTTTAACTGATAAATATGAGCCATATCAGGAAACAAGTGAAAAGTGAAAGCAAATAATCAGATGGAAAATCAAATTAATAAACTTATTTTGATACAGAAATGGCATGCTAACAGGCAAGCCAGATGAGGGGCATTAATAGTAAACAGGGAATCAACAGCAAACCAACCTGCATACAGACAAGCTTGGAGTCGCCTTTTACTTGAATTTTTGTATAACCTTTTTGAAGAGCATACTTCATTCCCAATAAGATGGCTCGATATTCAGCCATATTATTGGTTGCTATGCCCAGTCCTTCCCGTAATCTGCAGATCTACACAAATTGAAGGTTTAGAAAGACATAAATACCGCTAAAGATAATTCATGGTGACATGAACTAAAAAGGCATACCAAGCTTCCATCATCAGTTCGTAGGACAGCTCCTGCCCCGGCTTGTCCAGGATTTCCTTTTGAAGCACCATCAAACTCAAGAAGACAGGATCTCTGCGAGTAAAAGATCAGGGTTTTCTTTGTTTGATGAATTCATAAAAACAAATATTTTGAAGCATTTAATAGCTTATCCTGGGAAGACATAATTACAAGTAACCAATGAACATGAGCTTCTACTATCAGATTATGCAAAACGATCTGGCCAAAGAACACATACACATTGTTGCATACATAATTTTACATCCACGTACACTATTGGAATTCTGTGCTTGACACTCAGCTTGATTATCCAAATTGGCATGCTTACTCATCATAGATGTTGATCCAGCTTTGTCCTGTAAACAATGGATATTTCTTTATTAAAAAAAAGGGCCTCTAACAAGCAGAGGAATCTCATAAACAAAGATTAACAAAGACACACCCTCCAACCAAGTAGATTAGCAGGCATCAAACTTACTATGATTTCTGATCCCAGGACTTCCCGTGATCTCTTTTTTGTATCATTTTTGCACGTTTCAGCATCGGAAGAAGCAGGTTGCTGCGAAAAGTATTTTTAGTTGAAATTTGAATTGTACAGGAAAATATCTCTTAACTTCTTCCAGCACCACAGCTTGATGAAAATATGAAATGCTTTATGACACATGCCTATAAAAATGGCATTATTAGATTTTTCCACAAGGACCTCATTTGATCATCGTAAATATGTTTTGGCCATGCGTAGCAACCCGATAACTGCATCATATCTTTTTAAATTTCTGCAACAAACTGTTCATCAATTTGAACAGAGAGACTTGCACATTGAAATTTAGATGTTGTTCAGTTTATGAGGTCAAAGCATTGTATAGGTTGGAGATATAAAAACATTATTACCATTATGCCAAAGATTCACAGAGATTCTCAAAGCTAACAACTTCTTCAAACTATTTATAAAGATTATAAGCTAAGCTTAAACAACAAAATCTGCTTCCTTCCTGAAAATGTGTAAGGAGAAGTGTGCCGAGAAACTGTAGTTCTAAAGGTCTATATCGAAACTGCAATTTAAAGCAGAATGCGTTTCTATTCTGAATAGGATGCTGCTATCTTGCAACTAAAGTCAAAAGTTTATATGGAAATGATACCAAGAGAGTGCTCATAATGGTTTCCCTATGTAATGATATAACCACATGGAACATGTGAATCCTATTAGCATGATAGAAGAATTGGGTTCTAAAATCTGATATTGTGATACGCATCCTTAGTGCAATAATTTTGATACCAACCTTATGAGTTGCAATTATAGTTAGTCTTTGTAGTGCATTTAAGATATGCTCAGGTTTCTTTGAATATTTATGATAGTTTTGTTTCCTATTGGCAATAAAGATTCATGAACCACGTGCATATATCTTTTAATAGAGCTATTCTTTTCTACAAAGGTTTTTATTATTATCATAATTTTTTTTTTTTTTTGGCTATCTTTTCTATTGTATATCTTTAATTTACTTGGGAGATAGAATATATGCTGTTATTTTTTCTGTCTTTAATCTTTTTAAGTAATTAATAAGTAAAGTTACTTCAATTTCAATTGTACATATGAGGTGATGATTGAGGTCAACTCACCTGGAAAGGGCAAGGCATGAGCACACCAAAAAGGTCCTCTTTCAGATCTGCAGCTCTGACAGTATATAATGCATTCTGAAGCCCATGGGAAACAAGATGTGCCTCAGAGTCCTTGGATAGCGAGTACCCTTTGTAGACACTGACAGGAGGATCGCATATCTAGCAACAGAAAAAGGGCCAAATATCTTTAGTTCCTCTTCCAAGATAACATCTATATTGTTTATTAACTGCATCAGCATCTATTTCTAAAGTTACTATTAAACATAAATCCAGGAAGAGAAGTAAATAAGAAGAAGAAGGAGAGCCAATAAATGGCTGACAGAAATAACTATATGAACAAGATTACTATATTACAATTCCTTTAACATGCATGTCAAATGAGGAGTAAATGGCATGAGATGAGGCGTCAAAGCCTCCTCAAAAACAATGCATGTTTTTTGAAGTGTCACTTTTCAGCCATAAGTATAATGATTCTCTATATGCCACTCATTAAGAAACGAGTACCTGGAAAAAAAAAATAGTAAACATAAGATGGTGTGAGGAATTATATTCCAAACCAGGATGATGGTTGTTTCTGAGAGATTGATGAATAGAGAACAAGGCAAAAATACCTCACATTCGTGGCAGAGATTTGAAACAGGTAATTTAAACAGTGGCAGGACTAAAATTGAACTGGCAGGCCCAGGTCATTCAACACCCTAACATAAACTTTCAGATGTTGCAAATTTAATGAGAAGTGATGTTTTAATCTCCATTAAAAAAAAAAAGGGAAGGAAGAAAAGAAAAGAACATTGGCAACTCCTCTGATGCATCTCAAAATGGAAATTAAGATATACATGCATATGGAATGAAATATATAGAACTTATAATATGAGAGTGTTACAGTTATGCCACTTGATAAATAAAAAAATAAAGAGAAGCAAATGCGAAAAAGTAAAGCATAGGGTGACAATTGAGGAGATTAATTACCGAAGATCCAACTTGAGCCTGACAATCAGCAAAATTCTTATAAACACCAACAACATCTCCTTTCCGCACAACAAAGAAAGCATCATTCTCATGGTCCATAACTGTTGTTGGCTGAGGATCCTTCTTTTTCTTAACTGAAGCTTTTAAACTCGGTTTTCGAGACGAGTAGCACTGGACGCGAAATCTGGTGGAGAGAAATTCTAAATAGAGACCAGGATGTACACAGCTCCTTCTCCAAAAGGGAATCCAAGATTGCTGTGAATTGGTAGCTGTTGTTGCAATGAAATGGCTTGTTCTTCCAAATATAGAAGCGGTATATGAAGACAAGCGTGATAAGCAGTTCATTCCAATGTCACTTTCCCTGGATTATCTGAAAGACAATACTAATTTCTATTAGAACTATTCAATCAAATACTGCAAAAAATAAGTGTCCAAAAAATTTAGGCCGTGTTTAGTTAAAAGGAACATTTTTCATTTTCTCGTTTCAATTTTCTCCTCCATCTCCACGTTTTTACTTCCTGTGGAAAATAATGAAAAAGAAGAAAATGTGTTCATTTTTCTAGAAATAAAAACTGCTTTCTACGAAAATGCATTTAAGTTATTTTTGCTCTCAAAAATCCCAAAACACAAGATTGAAGTTTCAAAAACAAACTAGGCATCCAGTTCTCTTATACCATCGGTTCCTAATATAACTGACTCCGTGATTCTCTAATTTCTCTATGTCAATATCCAATTTGTCAGTCATTTACTTAAAATGATTTTGACCAAGCTAGAAGACAAATGGACTTTATGTCTCATTTTCACAAGCTCTATTGTAATGATCGGTGAACAAGGAGCAAGATATGCTAGGAATAATCACAAATAAGTGTCTAGTTGAGCTATAACTAGTACTAGGGCTGAAAAACAATACGGTCTGGACTCGTATCCGTAAGTAACAAAGAAAGTGCTGGCACTGGGGGACCTCAAAGAGACAAAACTTCAAGCACTTCGTGTGCATTGGTTCAAGATCACCGACCTTTAACCACAGTTCAGGATAGATAGCATAAATCCCATCTCATCTTTGACAGAACTACAAAAAGATAAAACCCATCTTACAAGCTCAAACTCAAACCCACGTCAGTTTTTGGGTTTCCTCCTCCTCTATCAATGCTAAAGACGGTTGTTGCAAACCAAAGCCAACACCATCCCCACTATAGCAATTGCTCGGCCACAAGGCAATTTTGTAAAATAAATAACATAAGTTAAGTAGCTTTGATGGAAACGCGTACTTTGAAAACGGAAAACATCCAAGGAATGTGCTGTTGTTACAAAGGACAATGTTGGTGAATGTCTTTTGGATGTTTTCCATTTTATTTTTTTAATTGAACATGAAATTCTATTTTTCTGGATAACAAGCACCGATTTTATATTTCCTTTTCTTTTCGTCTTCTTACGTTATCAGGAGCCAAACACAGATGAGAAATGAGGATTAATGATGTTTGACTGAGATAGATTCCTTATCAACCCAAAGCAAAAAGAAAAGCAAAATAATAATAATAATAATATGATGATGATGATGATGATGATGAGATACCAGTAGAGTAGATTATTTGATTGATGGTGGAGCTTGCTACTATGATTGATGACAAGTCAGATAGAGAGAATTGAGAAAGCTCAGGCAGCTCAGCAATGGCAACTCTATCTAGACCCGGCCCGGGAGAGGAGGAGCCGAAGAGGAATAGGGTTTTACATTTATTTTTATAAACCATAACCATTTTATTTCCATCCTTCACCGACATGTAGTTCATTTCTGACGACATGTCTTTAAGGGGGGTCACCTTTGAAACTCGTGTTGTTTTTAGTTGGAAGGCACAACTTGATCACCTTGTTTGTCTTCCAAAATTGATCTGGCTTTGTTCTAGAATAATTAGCGGTGCTCAATTCTGATCTCTGCTGAGATTCATGAGTTTCTTTCTCATCTTCAGGTGCTTGTAAATGGAAAAATTCACGATAAAAATAATATACGTCTTCGCCATGTACGATGACCGATATCACTAAGGAAGGAGTTCCCTGTAAGATACCGACAAATCCTTTCCATGTTATGCTTTTTCCTACTAGCTGTTTCATGTCTATTCTCTTTCCCGGGAGAAATTATTAGATACTCCAGGTACATTGCCCTCTCTCTCACACATAATAGGGTTTTACTTTTCCAAACTCGTGTTGTTTTTATACCTCTTGTACAGATCGGGATGTCATGTGTTCCTCTCTTTTCTTGTTTAATTTTAGAGATGCAATGCAAAGGCAATTCAGTACCTGGAGGAATTTGTGTAAATGCTTCTGTTCATTATGTTAATATATACTTTCTTGTTTCTTTATCCATGTACGTATTTCTATACCCACAATTCATGTCAGCAGCAAGGATGGTTGTCTTAGTCTCTGTGATTAAACTTTACCTAAATATCTCCCATCGCCAGATTTATCAGCATCTTTTATCACAAAAAAAAGAGGGTCTTTCCAATTGGAGGATAAATGGAAGTTTGAGACATTTGATCAAGGATGAGATGACATGTGTTCAAATTTATGCATAAATCTATGCTTTGATAGCTAATTTTAAAGATCACCATTGTCTTTAACACATTAAGTTGCTGGTTCTCGGCTTGAGTGATTCTTTTTGTCAGTTATTTTGCCAACAGAAACAGAATTTGAAACACTTGGGATGGGTAGAAAATGGAAAACGTTATGTTATGTCTTGATCCAAGAATTGCCTTTCATGATGATACTGGTTTTCTTTTAAAAAATATGCTTTCGAGCTGTCCCTTCTACACTCTGTTCAATCCCACTCACTACACCTATTCTCATTTAGCAGGGCTTGTTGATTATCATGAACTTGAACTTGAACTTGATTTGAAATCTGATTTAAGGCTCGATGACATCTAAATTGAACACATTCCCAAAGTAAGAGCAGTTTTTTACTTTTGGAATGCAACACTCTTGTCATCATTAACTTAACAAGGGACCAAATCTTAAAATATGGGAGACAACTAAAACAAAAAAAGTATATGTACACTAAATTTTAAATAGTACAGTACTTGTTAAAGAAAGTACATCAGACTGTATGTAAAAAGAAAATGCTAGATGTAAACTGCTCCAGGATGAAGGAAGGTTGACTGTTTAAAACCCAAGTATCTCTGCTTTCGCGAACAAAGCTGTGGGTTGCTCATACTCGACTGGACTTCGGAGTAAACCTAAAAGAATGCTCAAGCTCAGCTTGTTCGTTCATTGAACAAGTTTGGACGAGATGCCAGTGGCCCAGTAGAGCTGGACTCGTGCCAAATTCAAGTTGATTGTATCAATTGACAGCCTGCATGCATGTAGAGCATGTAGGAGCTTGCAAAAAATTCTTGGATCATCATATGCGTCTTGTTTCTCCTTTTTTCTTTGTCTGGAAACCCCATGACCTGTTTTTCGCTCTACTTTCAAACAGAGATTCAAAACCGGGGCAACGTAATTTTGTAAGTCATTGGAGCCACTCGATCAGAGGTAGGTTTCTGATACACTAACTCCCATAACCTGTGATGGGTTTTTTATCTTATGAAGAGACATGAGGCAAGAGCAGAGCATAGGATTCCCTGGCTTTGAGGTGACCCCAATTCGATAACTGCCGTTAACTTCCCGAACGTTTAGTTTCTAGGAGAAAAATCAATTTGATTAATTTCGCACCCCACGCTCTGCTTCTCGACTCAACAGATCCTTCTTCCATTCTAGAATGAAGACATTCATGTGGGGACTACTGTTGTTTTGACATTCCACTCGGCCTTGAAAGCAGACCATCCACTGAAGACTAATCGTTCGAGAAACAGCGTTGAATTATTGAACTATAATTGCGGGGCTGCTCCTATAAAGGAGATCCCCTCAAAAAATTGGCGTATGCCGTTATTTGCGGCGTGCACACGGTATTCTTTAGTAAAAGGCGAAAGACTAGTTCGCTCTGTGCTCACCGCGCGGCTGCGTGGTCTGTTAAGAAGAATGTACTCATTTTATATAGCAACTCCTCGCGTGTTGGAGTTTCTCTTTAGGCGATGTGGGACATTCTCTCTAACGTTGCCAAATACCTCGTGATACTCTATGTTTTGTGTCCCCTCGTTCCGTGGGCCTAGCTAGCTTGACAACATTTTTAAACCTCATCGTACTGACGATCAAAGCATCAAGAGGAAGTGAGTTAATACTGTGTCTCGATGCTTCATATAGCGAAGGCTAGGATATGATTGGCTATAAAGTTTACCAGCCATTTTGGAAGAAAGATTATTATCACTGCAGCGCCGTTATCACCATTGTTAGATGGAGTGATGATTATGCTGCAATGTTTGAGCACCAAAAATTCTTTAATTTATCTTCCATGGTAGCTTGAAGTCATGATGAGACTTTTCATATCAAAAGAAACATACTGATCTTGATGATCAAAATCATTCTAGCATTTTGTGCTTACACGGATACCAAAGTCGAGTTGCGAAATGAACACACAGGTTTTGATATTCGAGAGGAAAACAGCACAATGAATGCACTTGAAATGAGAACTGTGAAGCAGAAGATGATGGGGTAGTGATCTGTCAACAATCCTACAAAAATTTAGAAGCTCCAATTAGTTTCTTCTAATAAAGGCCCTGAACATGATGCACGTTCCCTACATTGACAACGCAAAATCATCCCACTAATCTGCTTTCCTACAAAACATGGTCATGCTTCACTTCAACAGGTTCAGAGATAACGATCCAGGCTGCCCAATGAGCTCTTTCAAACAACGTTGACAATAAAAAAAACCCAATTGAATTGAGTTTGGCAACCATTCTGTTAATTGCTGTCACCACCAGTCCATTCTTTCCAGTCATTGTCAACATGAGCTTGGGCCCATTTGACAGCTACACGTGCCGCTTCAGGTCCTCCAGGTAACCCCTGCTCATTCACAGTATCAGCCATATCAATAAAAGGTGTGACCAACAGTGTTCCAGGACCACCGTACTCCGCATGCAAGAAGGTACTGAATATCTGTAAACAATCATCAGAGGAGAACACCGTTAGCAACACTTTATATCCATACGTGCATGTGTAAGTGAATGATAAAAGAAACTCCTATTTACAAGTCATTACATCATAACACACAGTGGATTGATAGTAGAAGGGTATGAATTGGCACACGCGTATATAGATAAATTTAATATCTCATGAGCTCATTTGATCATCCAATTGTTACTCCTATCTGATTTCATTGTTTTCTTGCTCCTTTCCTATCCCACAATTTCCCCCCCTTTTTTCAAGATGTTAGTAACCAGAGAAACCTGACTGATCTCTGTGGACATCAGCTGTAATTGCAAACTAAAACTACAAAAGTTATAAATAGAAAGTAGAACAGTTTATTGTGTTGCTGTTCCAAACTTTCTATTATTACTAGGGTGTAAGGCATTCCAATGCCCCCAACTAAACCAGTTGAGAAAACTACGTTCCAGCTATGATAACAGGACAATAGAGAATCACGCAGCATACAAGCAAGACTTTGATATTATACTTACAAAATGGAGAATCTAAGCAACTTGAACTTATAATAGATCAGATCAACAATGTGAAGAAAATCTGAAGCAATAGTGCTGCCAGACTAGTCTACATCCATCTGCTCGCCCAAGCATATGCGAACACTTTTATTACATTCAAACACATAAAGAGTTGTAAAAGTAAAATTCTAAACTCCATTCAAAAACCAAAAAAAATTGCTTTACACTCTATGTCAGGATCAATGCCAGCTGCATCTATTAGCAGTGGTAAATTCAGCCTCCAAAATAAATCTTGACGAGAAAAAAAAAAGGGAAAAATAATGCGTCCTTTGCTGCAGATGCTGGACAAGCAGTTGTGCTTGCAAGTTGTTTAAATTGAGTCTATGCAGCAACATCAATGCTGGCTACATCAATTGTCTACGTGGTACCCACAAAAAATCAAAAGAACAGATTTCTAAGGAGTTGTATTAACCTTGTACTAAAAATTATCCAACATATAATTAACAAACTTTTAGCACTTAGCTTGAAATGGTAAAAGGCAAAGAGAATTAAAAGCACTGAAACCTAAAACAGGGTAACGAACTTCAAATATGAAACAGTTCGTATACAATTACCAAAAAGACTGCATATGATTTTTTCACTCTCTCCGAGAAGAGCGACTGGGCGAGACTAGGAGAGAGATTAAGTAAACTACCTCAGTGCAGATTCCTACAACTTCTTCAAGCGAGTCCCCGTAAATATCTTTCTTGGTAAGCTTTTTGGACAGATGGGTCTTAAACTTTTCTGTCTCCTGAACCAAAACGTAAAATTAAAACACGGCGCAGCCCAGGTTTAATATTATCCAACACACAAAAGAAAAGAAGGCAAGAATGATTGGTATTGAACTTACAGCAACAGCGAATTCGGGAATTGGATCTGGGAATTTGTATTCAGCTGCTCTGCAAATGTGCCTTCTTGGATGTGGCTGTGCTTTGTTGGTGATTGAGGAGGAGTGTTGTAGATCAGAGGAGTATCTTAGACTTATTTCTTTTAACTGACCGAATGCAAAGAAAGTAGTTGAAGAAAAAGAAGAAGAAAAGTTGGGGAGGAGTGAAAGAGGAGGACGAGAAGAGAAAGGAGAGCATATATCTAATTTTGAAGAAAAGAAAGCTTTGCTGCAAGAAGCCATCGCCAGCCTGCCTTATCTTCTTCTCTCTCACTCCTTGTCCCGGGGAGGTTTTGCTATGGTCTCGCTTGATATGTTTTTTTCATTTTTTCCTCCCTCGAGCGCCTTCTCTCTTTATAGTCGGCCAAATTATAAGAAACCCCCCTGAACTTTACCTAGAAAACAAGTAGCCCCCTAAATAAAAATATCAGGTTCTTCACCCTAAACAATATGATTTTTCGAAAGCACCCCTCCTAATAGGTTTCCATGGAGAAAATGACAGAGAAAAACCTAAAAATCCTGTAGTTTCTCTCTTTTTCTCTCCTAAAGAGAGAGAGATATATGAAAAGAAATTAAATCTCATTTTATTTGAATGCCATCAACAACAGTCACCCAAATCAAAACTCAAACTAAACTAGCAACTAATGAAGATGGATTGTGTTTTTTTTAACGGTAATCTCTCACTATGAAGAATTCCTCCATCTTAACACATGATAATCCATTGGACCAGCACTTGCTAAACAACATTTAATGTTTTAAAAATATATTAGAAATCTCATGAGAAAAATTAAAGACAAAATATTGTATGAAATAAAGTTCTTAATAGGGGAAACCATCCTTCATGTGGGAATGTTTGGAACAACCATTCATCAATCTTATTGCCTTCCACCAAAAGGCTTTCAAATGATTCACTTTGACTTTCAAACAATTCACTCCAATGGAGTCATGAAAATCTATCATGGTCTCTAAGCCTTTGAGTTAATGCAATTACACTCACAAGGTTAAAGATTAGAGGTTTACATCGCCGAGACTGATATTTTTAGACTCACTCTATTCTTTACCAGTATCTCGCTGCATTATGATAATTAGTCTGCTTATCCACGAAACATGCACGGTTCCATGCCAATGCCCTGCTGACTTTTCCGGTGCCGCCATTCCAATGTCATCAGCGATTCCTTGCACCAAATATATGATGCTTCCTGAAGAACATGTTCAGAGGAATGTCATCAGATAAATAATGCAGATGTATTTCAGCAGTGATTCATTGCACCGAATATCTGATGCTTTCTGAAAAACATGTTCAGAGGAAAAATGACATGTTTGGTTATATGAATCTGGTTTGTAACGCATAAAGGGTAAGAAAGTGAATTCAAAAAATGATATGACAAATAGGAGTATATATTATACAGAATCAAATTGCTCAGTTTCAACGATCTTGCATGATGCCTCTCCTGCCTCTGCCTCTGCACCCAAATCTTGTTTGTTTTTCATTTCACATTTCCCATAGAAGAAAAAATAAATAAAATTGATGCCTTAAAATAATTTAAATGCCTAAACTACAATGGATTCACTTGCGGCGTATACTTGTCCATATCCTTGGAACGAAGAAACAACTTTCTTTATCATCTCAGATAAAATTGAATTTGGATTTTTTTTTTTTTACAAACTTAAATGAATCTAGTGACTCTCTATTTATCGAAAATGATCCTGATGGCTGTAATCTCTCCTCTTCCAAAGAATCTGAATATAACAATAAAACAGAGATATGGGTGTAAATTTAGTATTTATGGTAATAATTATTTTTAAAATTATTTTTATTTAGAAATGTAATAAAATAATATTTTTTTAATTTTTAAAATTTATTTTTAATATCAAAACATTAAAACAATCCAAAAACACTAAAAAAATTAATTTTAAAAAACATTCGGCCAGCAGATTCTAAAACGTCACTTCCCAAGCTGATAAGCAAATTGGTGTGGCAACACGAATAAAAACCGTTATTCGGACTTCTGGTATTTTCGTTAGTGATTCGGAAGCTTTACATACGCCAGCCTGCATGAGCTGAAACCATCTGTTTGAGCTGGAACAACATTTACAAGGCTTCAAGGTCAAACCAGAGTCCTACTGTTACCGCTGTTGACAAAAGAAAGAAGAGCAAAAAGGAGCCAGGTTTTGCTTCATGACAGTGCAAGAAAGACCTTGTTGGCTCCCAAACAAGGCCTGCTATTTGGTATCTGAGTAGCAAGCTCGCATAAACTATGCATTTCATAGATTTCTTTCATGCGGTTCAAGCCAAGGAAATCCTAGGAAATCAAACACCTCTTTTTCATTGTCAAATCTCAGACTTGCACTAGCTCTTGCACCCTGCAATAAAATTGAAACATGTCAGCCTTATTAAACCTCAGAAGTCTCAAGAGATAAGGAAGATACCACGAATCTCCAACTTACTCGCTTGCCACCTGAAGCCTGGGTAGCTGGAAATAATCCGGTATCATCAAGCCGGTATCCTTTGGATTCTGCTAGCAGTCTCAACCTGCATTCAGATATAACTGCCAAATGACAATATGCTCATAACAATAGAGGTTCAATCTCTCACAAAAGAACATGAAACAGAGAAATTCAACAAAAATTATTTGCAAGTTATCGGTACTCAATTCCAGACTAAATTCATTCTGGGAACTGTTGAAATGGTAACCAGTAATATTGAGTAGTAGCAAAAGCATTTCGAAGCCACGTGGTGATTCAGGAAGACTCAATATGAAAATGATTTTGAAGAACTTAAAAAACTCAACCTGGTCGTATTTTTTTAGATGAAAGAAAATCTCATTAACTGACATAAAAAAGAGAGCAAGTCATCCTCCAAATAATGAAAGCAAAAGGAATATCATAAATGAGCAGACCAATGCTGCTGAATATCAGTCAAGGAAACTCCCTAAAACCACCGGGAGCATGAGGCAACAAAAAGAAAAGACAAGTATCCTATACCACAGCAAATTCCGTGAAGTGTACTTGTTTTTAAAGACTAGCATTTCTCAACAAGCAAGCAAGTGCAGAGCAAAGAATCTGAAGTTGGAAGAGCCGAAAGACTTAATCATTTACACCAAAAAAAAAAACACTGTGCACAAAAGTGGTAGATTATGGATTATAATGGAACTTTTTTATTTCAAAGAGCAATTATATATGAAACTTATATGAAATAACTGCTAAACTTAAGGAACCATTTTGAGCTTTGGGAGGGAGAGGGGGCTCCTGCTTGCACCCCCTAGTTCTGCCCTCCCCTGCAACCAGGCATGCCATAGGATCGTACAAGCAGCCAAAAAAAAAAAGCAATGCAAAACTATCTTCCTCATCCCAAAACCCATAAAAAAGAATACCACGAAACCTGCCACTGTTAGGAAATACCCCAGCCAAGAAAACTTCCATTTTTTTCTTAGTTATTTATTTATTGGGGGATGGGTGGTTTGGATCACTCTTGGCTAGTAAAACCGTACCTCCTGTTTAATACATCATTCCCTGTCCATGCTACTAGACCAAAAGCATATATGTCCCTTGGATAAACCTATAAAACAGAACACAACCAAGTCAATCACATTTATATAACAATCAAAAATTAAACAGCAAGATTAAAAGGAGCACTCCAAAAAAACTTTTTGACCAACTCCTGCACGATCTAATGAAATAGCTGATTCCACAAATTAAGTAATAAATTAATCATCCTGTTACCTTCAAGTCTATTCGGTGCCGCAATTCTTGCCCAGGATATGTGCAAAGCCCGAAATATGTGTCAACACCTGAATCAGTACCCTGTGCACATTATCACATGTTGCAAATGATAAAAGAATCGATCAAGAGGAAACAATTGAAAACACAATGGAGCCCAGAAAAATTGTTTTCCCCATCAATTTTGAGCTTCCTCCTTTCTTGATAAGAAGTCATAGAAAAGATAAAGGGAAGGGAAAACTTAAATGTTAACTTATTGTTTTAGTTCACTGTATAACAATTTATCAACTAATAAGTCAATGAACTAGTTTGAAGCTTTGGGCATTCAAAAACTGAAAGGCCAACTGCAACTGAAATTGAAGGGGCCAGCCAACCTCAATTAGTTGGCTGCTGCGCATCACTTAAAAAATCAAGCTTAACAGCTTCCAATAATGCAACAGATGTCTTGGAATCTTGAACATTCTGCCTAGAACATCCCTTGATGGTTTTCATAAACAATTAACATGGCAACTCACTGGAAAGATTAAAATCTAACTTGACAATACCCTTTATAAACTCATAGCCTGTCACAATTTAGATAATGTAAGGGGCCCATCTATATCTATGGAAATCTTAATGCTTTTGCTGATAGAGACCAAAGATATCCACATCTAGACAGCTGAACTGAATTACAGGAACAAAGTTCTGAACTCAAGATTCACAATTTATGGGGAAAAGGGGGGGGGTTTCAATATCTTAGGAAAGAAAACAAAGACAAAACAAGCTTTCATAACTTATGTAAGATAACAAAGACAAGTAAGCCTAACAAAGTTAAGACTAATTACCTCCTCACTGTGAGTACTGAAAATCAAATCCTCTCTTAAGAATTTCATATCCTTTAAACGCTTCACATATCTTGTTAGAAAACCTTTATGACTGAAATATAAAGGAAAGAAACTTTAGAGTTCATTTCACAACCATTGATTTTAACATTTTCTTTTTAATTCTGACCATCAACTCAAAGCCAAAACATAATCATTTAGAATTTGTTAGAATGAAAATTACATTTCAACTTGAATCTGTAAGTGACTTTTAAATTCAGTGAAAAACTCGCTTAGCAAAAGTCGTTTTTTAACCTTTTTCTTCAAGGGAAGAAATTTAGCACTGGATACAACAAAAAAGTTTTTTTTTGAAAGATATCGCTACAAAGAATTTTGCTTAAAGCAAATTTTTTAACCACTTGAATAATTTTTTGTTATGAATTAAAACTATAGGGTGAGATATGAGCATGCCCATACAAACATGAGCACAGAGAAGAAACCAAAAAAACAGATTTTCACCTTTTCCCATCAGGGTGTGTAATCACGATGTCCAAATCACCACAAGAAGCTTTTCCACGTCTATATGATCCTCCACATAAAATGTTGACCTTCAAGACAGGTATTTAAAACATTAAGCAAGATGTCAAAGTCTATTTAAATGGTGAGACCATGAGACTAAGGCCTCAAGCCTTAAGGTATAGCTCTCAAAGAAATTTATTGATCCACGTCAGAGCAAATCTCCACAGATCCACCAGTATCTGTCTGGCTCTGGCCTTTCATATGAAGTAAGTTTTTGTAAACTATATGTCAATCAAGAATCATCCAGATTCTATAAAAAAAATATCCAGATCTCTAAACTTGGCCATGCCATTAAATAGATAAGAATTTAGGTCCTCTAATGATTCAACTCATTCAAAACACCTGGTCAAGCACAGTTACTGTGCTCCTGTACCAAAAAAATCGAAGCCCAGCCTTAAGCCATCCTCGGGAAGAAAAATATAACCGTGGTTTTCTAAGATTCTATGAAACTCACTCAAGAACCCAAGAGTCCTTAGTGTCGACTTGAGGTTACAGTCTTTTTGTTCACATCAAATACTGCAAAATGGTGGTGAAAGCAAATGCCCCCACACAACAGAATGGGCCTTCACAACTCAAACAACTTCTTGGGTCCTTTTGGATTCTTTCATAAACTAGTTCATGGCATAAAAGAGCTCACCCCAGGTAAAATTTCTTCACCGGTTTTCTGTAGCAATAGTTCCATTTCTTGAACCTGCACATTCACAATTATTAAGAGTTTCCTGGGCAAACCAAGTTCCAAACACAATATAAATCATAGGAGCAAGCAGGATATCGCACCTCATGGCGTGGAATCCTCGTCTTAATATCATCAAAATATTTTAATCCTAACTTCTGTGAATGTGTCAGTGAATCTTCATTCTTCAGATCCTCTAGCGTGCGATGACCCTTCTCATAAAATTTTAGGGCTGTGGCTGGACCAATACCCCACACTTCCCCAAATAAACTAATCGTCCGTACCTGAAAATTGTTAATTGAAAGTGCTCAAAGCAAGAGAATAAATGTGATGAAGGTATGCAAGACAGCATCTCCAGATAGACAAAAAAAAAAGAAGTATGTGCAATGTGGGATTGCAATTTCCAGAGAAATATCCAGAATACCTTTTCATCTGTCTCAAAGTGCTCCAACTTGGATAATTTCCCAGTAGTTACTATCTCCTGGATCTGCATACACCCAGAGGCACCCATAATCTTCTGAGGGAGATTACAAGATGAAAAAATAAGAAGAAGAAGAAACTGCTTTTCATGGAATGCTGCTTTAATAACAGAGGCCCTTGAAATCCAGATTTTTCCACAGCAATGTTTTGCAAAACACATGGCATCATGAGATTCAGGACCCAGCAAATATGATTCCCAGTGACAGATTTTCACACATAGAACATTCATATTACAGGAAAAACAAGTTACCACATGCATATCATGTTTGAACAGTGAGAAGAGATAACAATAAATCAAGACAGCTAGTGACACTATAAGACAAGCAACAAAGCTAATCAAGGGAAGAGATGTGGACATAGTAATTTGAACATAAACGAGCCCTTACATGATCCTGCATTGACTTTCCAATGCCAGGCAAATCTTTGACCTGGTCTGCACTCTCAATTTTAAATGGCAACTTCTCAACAACAGGAATAGCCTTGTAATAGCTGAATGACCTTCTATCGTCACCCAAAGCTTTTC